CAAAATGTTGGAATGAACAATTTAACAGCATCAAGCCTCTACGAGCTGTCTACGACTATCCCCTAATTGCCACCCTTCAGCTTCAGTCGGACGACATTTTACAGTCCCCTGTTCTGAAAGGTAAAATGAACGTAAATTTGGTGCTGTAATTGTACGCGAAATTTCAAATTTAAATTTTGTCGACGTGTATGGAAAGGCGGCTTTTCGGCATTTTCAAACGTTTTCTTTGGGACTTTTAGAGAAGCGCAAGAACTTTGTCGGTCAGTGTCACAAATTTTTTGACAGATGGGGGTCTTTAGTCAACTGAGAGTCATACGTATGAGTGTGGTTTATCGTATTCGTTACAACTTCTGAAGACGATTTTTTTTCTTCGTTGTTTTTAAATAAAGTGTTATTTTACAGACAACCTCTGGAAATGTTTTTTTTGCTCTGGAGAAACCAAGCTGGTCCTACTTGCAAAGAATACTTGTATGCAGTTAAGTCATATCTTTGGAATCAAAAGCAAATAAATGACTTTTTTCCGAATATTAAAAAGAACTTACAAAACAAGCCGCCGTGAGCAGCACTGGACAAAATGATTGATATGAATGATGTTTAAGTGTATCATTGTATTGTTAAAGTGCTATTTCCAAATTTACTTCTCTTACATGTTCTTGTGCTAGGTCAACAGGGAACTGTTCAATAAAATGATTCACCGTGGAATGGTTTATCTTAAGTTATTCTACAGCGTACTGAAGTTGTAAATGTTGTAAATCAGGAACATAGCATGTTGTAGAAATGAACCACTTGAGTGCTTTTCTGTTGTAAATCAGACTAGTGAGAAGAACAAGTTTCCAAAAATTTTGTAATTATAGTGCAGTAATTGCCTGATCTTTTAAAAGGCGCTGTTACACTTAAGCATGCTCACTAAACTTTTTTTTGACCTTCAGCTTCATCTTTTCTATACAGAGTTCCTGGCACCATTTAATTCATCTCTGATAATTTTAGATTTGTCTGTGTAGCTTTTATTAACTTTCTAATCGTCTAATGCCAAATTATTGTTTTAACCCTTCCTTCATTTTACAAGGTCATTTTCATGTTAGTGAGTCGTTTGATGGGTAGTGTAGGCATTTTGTAACCACGATTCTAGGAATCTGCAAGTTTCAAGTTCACTTCCGGTTCATTTCCTCAACTAACCGTTCTCAAATGTGTTGATCATTTTCTGAACCGCACAAAAATACTTATTTAACTACAGTATTTTGGTTGTGGTCATAAAGCTTATTGATTTACCGTACGAGGTACCTAGAGAAGTTATTGGGGAAGCTTTTCTGAAATACGTACTCGTATATATAAATAAGGATCCTCATTTGCTCTATTCGTTACTTTGTTTTGCTTTTTATTTTACTCTGTTAAGTCCTCTGTGGTATTTGTATGGACCTTGGAAGGCTGCTCACAATA